CCGGCCGCGGGGCGCTGGGCGCCGGCCCTGTGGAGAGCCTGCAACGGGCTGATGGCCGCCTTCTTCGCGCTGGCGGCCTTGGTGCAGGTCAGCGGCCCGGCCCCTGGAGGCGTGTGGCGGCCAGCGGGCGGTGGGAGAGGGCCTCCGCAGGGCGCCGGCCTCCAAGCTCCGTCCCGAGGCCCAGCGTGCAGTGTATACTAACAAGCCCGCAGGGTCGCAGAAGCGGGCAATTTAGGTGGAGGACGAGGATTGCATCAGAAATCCCCACTCTCTTCCCCCACCTAAGACACAGATGTGTTTACATGACCTCACCACAGTCCTCTCTTTTGCTCAAATCCTGTAAGGAGCTGGTTCACTGTGTCACTTTGAAAGCAACCTGAGCAGAGAAACAACCTTGGCACCTTACTATTCAGCCTGTGGACGAGACAACACAATTCAGAGTCGAGGACATGAATTAGAACAAAACCCTTTTGTAACACAGCTAGACTTTCAAGCCTGCTTTGGATCCTCTTCATAAATGCTTTCCTCATTCCTTGAGACTGTAGGGCCTTTAAAATACCCATTCCAGGTATGGCCCATCCTCTTCAGAGTTCCTGTGCAATTATTTACAAAAATGTGTGCTGTATGTTCAAACCATCTGTTGTATTCAGCCAGAAACCCCTTCACCTATCATGATCTGCTAGACTATGTCTTATTCCTATTTTGTATCTGCAGTGCCTACTGCAGCATCTGTCATGTAACAAATGACTGAAATGAATCAAAGAACAGACCAAATACAGGGATGGAACCTGACAGTACACTTGCTAACACCTGATGTTTTGACATTGCAGGTAAACGATCCAGATGCAGAACTCTGGATGGTGAGTCTGAGCCGCTTTCCTCTACCTGAAAGAATTGTGGAACTGTACCAAACACAATATTATCTGTTTGCCACTCCCCCCACCCCTCTACTTTGTGTACTTAAAAACTTAGAAATCAAATCCTTTGTAAGATCTTTTCCTCAAAATATTAGGGGGAAATGAGTCAGAGTAATAAGGGTGTGTGTGTGTGTGTGTGTGTGTGTGTGTGTGTGTGTGGTGTGTCTGAATTCAGAATTTTCCAGAGACACAAGGTCTTTCAGCAGTATTCCCTTTGAATAAGATGATCCAACTGAGGACACTTTTTGAAGACACAGACCTCTTAAGTTCAACCGAACCATTAATTCTTTATGAGTTTCTTCTACCCAGAAACTCCAACAAACATTTGACCAGAAATGGTAGGCTTAAGGTTTGTGTTTTTGCTAATTCAGTGAGTTATATTTATAAAAGTAATTAAAGCCGCTATACCTACAGTACATATTGAACCATAGTGCTCTAATTGAATCATGGGGGTAGGGGTCTTCCACACATTTTCTGAAATATCTAAATTTTGCCCAGCTTCTTTCAATACAGATACACAAGACTATACAATGTCAACAGTGAGATGATTTTAGGCTTTGAAATAATGTCAGCCATGTACAGAATAGCAACAAGTGAAAGCATTTGAAATTATAATGCAAAATTCTGATCAATTTTTTTTTTTAGTGTGGTAAAAGTGCATTCTCATATTGCAATGCCATAAAAACAGGTTACCACTTCCTCGATTGTTACTGAAACCTAAAGTAAATCATGGAGCATGGTGGCCACTAATGTCATCTTTCTTTACCTCTTTATCCACATTATTTCCTCTCTTTTTGCTATCAGGTTGTATATATAATTCCTGCAGTGCTGACCCTGCTTGTTGGACTTAACCCTCTTGTCACAGGTATGAACCTTGGATTTGGAATGGAGATACTTAATAATAATGCTTGTAAGTGAATGCGTGGCTATAAAACAGACTTAATCATATCTTTATTTTGTAACCTGCTCCTTGGACCCCTTACATATATATCTATCCCAGGTGATATACATGTAAAAATCAGATTTCCTTATAATAATGAGAGTCTATCTGCCCAAAACCCAGGAGAAAAAAATGGGTCACTCCAGGTCTTTTTAAGTCATTTCTGATCATAATAAGGGGCTAATTCTAATCTAAGTCATCCTCTTCTAATTTTCAGGAAATCTTCACAAGGATTTGCCATACTAAGATAATCTTTATCAGTTTGGAACCCAAATATTTCTTATGCTGATATGGAATAGTTATGCAGTTTAGTCCATGAGAGAGAAGGGTTTCAGTCACTGCATTGATTTCTTAAGCCACCAAACTAATGGAAAACCAGCAACAAATTCTTTTTAGACCAATACCACTCTCATTAATAATTTTCTTATTTTGAATTCATTCAATACCTATCTATATGAACTATTACTTATATAGAGAAACTGTTTATAATATCTATAACAAATCTCTAGATTTCTCATGAATATATGTTTGCCCCCACAATCTCCCAATGTGCTGTCATAGTACCCTCGGCAATTTATTGCATGTTTTTATATATGTTTCCTTCTCCTAGGCCATAAGCTCCTTAAAAGCAGGATTATTTCTAACCTATCTTTGCACAAGCTTGGCTTAAATATGGCCAAGAATATGGTAGCTACCTAATGCTTGTGAATGAATGAATGAATGGCTGTAAAACTCCTTACATATATATATATATCCCAAGTGGGTATACATGTAAAAACTTCACTTAAAATCACTATCTACTTCAATTATGGGCAAACCATAGCTGCTTTGCCTTTTATGGCCTTGAAAACTCTCAATAAACCTTTATGTTAGGCTGTTTTATACTATAAAAGTGTCCCATAGCAGAAAAAAAATACATTTTACATTGTTTACTAACATTTTCTTATTAATAGGCACTATTAGTCTTACAGGTTATTGATCACTTTCTTTAAGACAGCTTCTATTAGTGGGGCTCGAAAGTTCTTCGGGCCTTAGAATAAAGTCTAATGATTCCCAGCTGGGTGGGGAGAACTCTTGTCCGCAAGGTTCAGGAACTTCATGTATGGGCCTCTAGAACTCTCTCTACATCTTTAAGGGGTATCAGTTAGAGTTCTATTAGTTTCAAGCAAGAAAAATCTCAACCTGAATGGGATCCAAGCCAAAAAGTAGATATATTAGGATATTTTACTGAAAAGGTGAGAGGTGGTGGCTGGCTTCAGGCACTGGTGGTGGTTCGGAACTTAAACTTCTCTGCATTCTCAGTTCCACCATCTATTGCACTGACTTCAGTCCTGAGCTCCACATGGTAGAGCTCTGCAGCTCAAAGGTCACATTCTCACCCACCGCACTAAGTCCTACAGAGTATAGAATCCACTCCCTGAATTGTTGGCCCTGATTTGTCCTACGCCGATCGTGAGCCAAATCACTGTCACTAAGGGGATGAAAAGCATTGACTGACTTAGCCAAGGTCCAGTTATCTGGGACATGTGGACATGTGTGAGAAGAATAGATCCCCAAAGAAAATAAGGATAATCATCATAGGAAGGAGAGATGTTGGACAACCAAAATAATCAATGTCCATTTAAGTTTATAATTACTTTTTTAACATCTATGATGTCCCTCATAATAAAACAAAACAACCCCAGCCTTTTTGAATGCTTTACCTGAAAGCAGACTATAGAAAAGCAAATACAAAAGAGTTCATTTTTCTATGGGATGTGATTCCATGATTAACAACTTCAGGATTTCTATTTTTAGGTAATTTTATTTGGAAGACTGTCTCTGCAATACACATGTTCTTTTGTATCGTGTGGGCTATCAGCTTGGCATACTACCTCCTGCTTCATACACAGAGGAACATCTTACATGAGGAAGAAGGCAGGTGAGCAGTGACTTCTGCTCTCTAGAAAGGGTGGGGAAGAACTGAGAAATCTTACATTCCTTTACAACACCTTATCTGTGCACAATGATTTAATTCCTCCAACTATTCCATGAAGAGCAGGGAAGGTATTATCTCCTTTATAAGTAGAAGAAACTGAAGAAATAATGGAGCGACGACTCAAACCCAGCACCATCTACCACACTTCATGATCACTACTACAGGCAGCATTACATATTACGTTATATTACCATCAAGCTTAGCTTCCTTATAATTGAGAAAGAATACTATGCAGTAAGAGTCCAGTCAAATAAGGTGAAAACTGCAACAGCATTCTGATTCAGTTCTGGTTCAAGCCAAAATCTTATCTATGAGTGTGATCAGCCATGTCAGCCTTGTTCAGCCTTTCCCTGGTATGGCTCATGTCATCTCCTCCTTTTGTTATTTTATCACCCCTTGCTTTGCTTTCTCCCACCTTTGACTCCCTGGCCTCACTAACAGCCTGATTTCTTTTCTTTTTATCCGACTGCTAACATCCACCAACACCAAGATTCAGAGACCTGCAAATTAAGTATCACTGGTGGGATGCTACCGCATTATAGATCCTAATCCTTGGAAAACTGGATCAGGTTGGGTCAGTTAATGGGAATGTAAACCAAATGGGTTGAATGACCACCAATTTAAAGCCCACGAGGTGTGGCAAACTCAAAGTGGCGCTTTTAGCGGTACAATGGCCAAATATGATTCTTTTCTACTCTATGTAAAAGATAAGTGCTTTTAACACATATTTCTAACACATTACCACCCCAAAATCATTAGTCAGACTCATACTAGAAAGCATTCCTCTCCATTAATATGTGACCCAGTCTCTGTAATGTGTGCTTAAATTATTTGATTTGAGTTCAGCCAGCCTAACACTGAACACTCTAAAATGATGTAAAAAGAATGCCTGATCAAATTGAGATTGTTTTCTTGATTGTAGTATTCCTCCCAGTGACATGAAGTAAGTGATTTAGATGTGTTTTTGTTTTGTTTTTTGTTTATTTATAAGTTGGGGAGTAGTCATGGAGCTCTTTTCTGCTTCATAAGATGAAATTTATTTTCATATAGGGCTTTACACTGTCTGAAAAAAGTAATTTATGAATCATGCCAGATTTGAAAATATTCTGTAGATGTTATCTATATGTTTTGAGGGATGTCATCCAACAGTCAGTAGAATCAAGTGTCATGGAGAGAATGGCATGATATACATCTCACCTGCAGCCACTTCAGAAATATGAAATGTATGCTATTTTTTAGGGAGCTGTTTGGTCTGCTGATTATCACAGCATGGATGAGCCTATGCCACAGTTCATCAAAGTAAGTTTTCATATCAGATGTGTTCAAGGTTGATTGGATCAAGTTAATAAGTGAGAATATTGACACACAAATAAAAACAGAAATTTTTTGACAGAAATCTTTCCTTTTCTATGGAAAGCTAATAATAGTTGATTCAAAGTTTCATGATCATTAATACTTTCATGAATACCATAGTTTCCTATGTGGTCCAGTGTAATCATAGGCAGTTGCCAGCCTAAAGAGTGTTCTTCAGGAAGAAGGAAAATGATCTCAGAAAGAAGCTTGCAGATTTAAGAAAGAATAAACAACAAATAAAATATAAAAGTGAGTATATAAAAATGAATATTAACTTTATAAAACTAGTAATGATGTTTTGTGGGCTTAAACATATAAAGAATAAAAATACATGACAAGAGTAGCATATAAGTTGGAAGGGGATAAATGAAGGTAAAATTTTCTAAGATCCTTGGATTGTCTGGGAAGAGGTAGAAGCACCAATTTATATTAGACTTCGGTAAGTCAAGGAATCATGTGGTAATCCTCAAGGTAACCACTAAACGAAAAGAAAATGAGTGTAGAAGGCAGGAAAAGAGGAGGGAAAAATACAAAACAGATGGGAAAAATAGGAAGCAGATGTTTAGAGAAATAAATCCAAATAGAGGAACAATTACACTAAATGTAAATGTTCTAAATATTCCAATAAAGAGTCAAAGATTTTCAAAGTGGATAAAAATATTGAAAACCCAACTAAACACTGCTCACAAAAGACAACGTTTAAATATACAGATGCAGAAAGACTGAAAGTCAAAAAATAGAAAAAAATATACTACACAAACACCAACCTAATGAAAGCTGGGATAGCAGTTTTAATTTTTAAAAGCAGACTTTAAAGCCAGCATTAGAGAAAAATGAGGATTCTTTTTGGTGATTATTTTGTGGGGTTTTTTTGTATTAATTTTTTTATTTTGAAATATTCAAACATATACAAAAGCAGAGAGACTAATATAGCAAATCATACACATCCATTACCTAGCTTCAGCAGTTACCATTATATGTCCAGTCTTGTTTCATCTATGTTACTGTCCTCTCTACACTTAGGTTGTTTTGAAATAAATCTCAGATATCATATTGTTTTATCTATAAATATTTCAGTATGTATCTCTAAAAGATAAGCACTTTAATCACTCTACCATCACACACAACAAAAGAATAATAACTCTTCAATATTGAGTTTTCCAGTCAATGTTTACATGTCCCTAGTTGTCTTATAAAAGCATGTTCCTCTGTGTTCTGTATTTCCTATAAATTGGTGTTTAGATCTAGAGGCTTGGCCAGATTTTGGCATTATTACTATTATTACTAAGCAAAAGTACTTCATAGTGGTATAATGTACTTTCATCATAATATACATAACACCTAGCTGTTTCTTTGTAATGTTAGCCTTTGATGCCCATTGCCTAAGTCCATTAATTTATTTAAGTTGCAAAATGGTGCTATTCTAATTCCTTCATTATTAGTTGGAAAACTTTTATAAAGAGAAAACTTCCACTTATCAATTCTTTGAGATACAGATCATAAGAGGAAAAGGAAAGAAAAAGGAGTCGATTCTTAATTTACCAGTTTTCAAAATGAGTTTTTCTTGCCTGGGCATCTTCCAAAAGTGATAGTGAGTTTTGTTTATATGTCATTATAGTAGTACCATTATAAAGTCATGGATTTCAACATAGTTAATATTTCTCAGTCCATAGCAGTTATTATCCATGGCAGTCCATGCTTCAACTGTCCCATCATAAATGATCCAAAATCTTTGATTGCTTTCTTGCTTTCTGGTATGAAAAATGTTCCAAGATAATGTACATTTTATGCCCTAGACCTGGAATGAATCATTTTTCTAAAAAGCCCTGGTTACTTTTGGTAGATAGTGGTATTTAGAGGTCACAATCTTGGCTCAAGTAGTGCACATATATACATAAATTTATAAATATGTGCATATTTATGGATATGTGTGTGTACCATAAATATATATGCACATATATGTATATATGTAAAATATATAAAGATAATATATTGCATATATATTTAAAGACAAAATATCTTATGAGTTAATATTGATCCTCACAATTCAAATTTAGGAACAGAAATTTTCATTTAACCTTATCAAGGATCTTACATCAATATTTCCTTTTAAATATATAGAAAAATCTCTAGTCTCAGTGACCTCAACATAATAATTCATTTGACTTATCCTACAATACAGACACACTCTTAGAATAACAGTATGATTACTGAAAACAGGCTTTTGGGGATTTGTTAAAGCATTTTATTTTATTATTAGTTTCATGTATACAGTACATTGGCTAGATATTTATATAGCTTGTGAAATGATCCCCCCAATTACTCTATCACCCTTCTGGCTGTACACATAGTCCTTACATTATGGCTGACTGCATTCTCTATGCCATGCTTCCCAGCCCTGTGACCATCTATCAACTACAAATTTGTTCTTCTTGAACCCTCTACCCTTTTCTCCCAGCCCTCTAACCCCCTCCCTTCTGGCCTTTACCAATATTTGTGAGTCAGTTTTCGATTAGTTTGTTCTTTTTGTTCCTTCCTTAGATTCCACATATAAGTGAAGTCATATGGTATTTATCTTTCTCCATCTGACTTATTTTGCTCAGCATAATAACCTCTAGGTCTATCCATGTCATTGCAAATGGTAGATTTCATTTTTTTTATGGCCGAAGAATATCTATTGTATATATGAACCATAACTTCTTTATCCAATCATGTGTTAATGGGCATTTAGGTTGCTTCCATATCTTGGCTATTGTAAATACTGCTGCCATGAACATAATGAACATAGGGGTGGATAACTCTTTATGAATTATTGTTTTGTGTTTTTTCGGATAAATACCCAGATGTGCAATTCCTGGGTCAAAAGTAGATCCATTTTTAATTTTTTGAGGAACCTCCAGACTGTTTTCCATAATAGCTCTATCAATTTGCATTTCCACCAACAGTGTATGAGGGTTCCCTTTTCTCTACATCCTCGCCAATACTTCTTTTTGATTTATTGATGACAGCCATTCTGACAGGTGTGAGGTGAAATCTCATTGTGGTTTTAATCTGCATTTCTCTAATTATTAGTGATCTTGAGCATATTTTCAGTTGTCTATTGGCCATCTGTATATCCTCTTTGGAGAAATACCTATTCAGGTCATCTGCCCATTTTTTAATTGGATTGTTTGTTTTTTGTTGTTGTTGAATTTTATGAGTTCTTTAAATATTTTTGGATATTAACCCTTTATTAGATGTATCATGAGGGAATACCTTCTCCCATTCAGTAGGTTGTTTTTCGTTTTATTGATAGTTCCCTTTGCTGTGCAAAAATGTTTTAGTTTAATGTAGTCCCATTTGTTTATTTTTTCTTTTGTTTCTCTTGCCGAGGAGATATATCTGAAAATAAATTACTAGTAGCAATATCAGAGAGTTTACTGCTTATGTTTTCTTCTACAAGTTTTATGGTTTCGGTTCTTACATTTAAGTCCTTAATCTATTTTGAGTCTGTTCTTGTATGTGGTTTAAGATAGTGATCCAATTTCATTTTTTTGCATATATCTGTCCAATTTTCCCAACACAATTTATTGAAGAGACAGTCATTACCCCATTTTATATTCTTGCCTCGTTTGTCATATATTAAATGAGCATATTCACGTGGATTTATTTCTGGGCTCTCTATTCTGTTCCATTGATCTATGTATTTGTTTTTATGCCAGTACTATGCTGTTTTGATTACTGTAGCCTTGTAGTATAGTTTGATATTAGATAGTGTGATACCTCTAACTTTGTTTTTCTTAAGACTGCCATGGCTATTCGGGATCTTTTATGTTTCCATATAAATTTTAGGATTATTTGTTCTAGTTCTCTGAAAAATGCCATTGGTATTTTGATAGGGATTGCATTGAATCTATAGATTGCTTTGGGTAGTATGGCCATTTTAATGATTTTGATTCTTCCTACCCATGAGCACAGTATATGCTTCTGTTTATTTGTATCTTCTTCAATTTCTTTTTTCAATGACATAATTTTCTGAGACTAGGTCTTTTACCTCCTTGGTTAATTTGATTCCTAGGTATTTTATTGTCTTTGATGCAGTTATAAATGGGATTATTTTCTTAATTTATCTTTCTGAAAGTTCATCATTGGTGTATAAAAATGCAACTGACTTCTGAATATTAATTTTGTATCCTACTACTTTACTGAATTCACTGATCAGTTCTAACAATTTTTTTGTGGACTCTTCAGAGTTTTCTATATATAGTATGTCATCTTCTTTTCTTTTTTTCCAATTTGAATACCTTTTTCTCTTTCTTGTCTGACTGTAGCTAGGACTTCCAATAAAATGTTGAACAGAAGTGGTGAAAGTAGGCATCCTTGTCTTATTCCTGATCTTAAGGAAAATGCTTTTAGCCTTTCCCCATTGACTATGGTATTAGCTGTAGGTTTGGCCTTTATTATGCTGAGGTATGTTCCCTCTATTCCCAATTTACTGGGAGTTTTTATCATATATGAATGTTGGATTTTGTCTAATCTCTGCATCTATTGATATGATCATATGATTTTTATCTTTCAATTTGTTAATGTGGTGTATCGCATCAGTTATGGATATTGTACCAACCTTGCATCCCAGGAATAAATCCATCTTGATCATGGTGTATGATATTTTTAATGTATTTCTGAATTCAGTTTGCTAATATTTTGCTGAAGATTTTTGCATCAAGGTTCATAAGAGATATCAGCCTATGTTTTCTTTTTTTGAAATGTCTTTATCTGGTTTTGGAATCCAGGTAATGGTGGCCTCATAAAAAGAATTAGGGAGCCTTCCCTCTTCTTGAATGTTTTGTAATAGTTTGAGAAGAATAATTGTTAATTCTTCAAATGTTTGGTAACATTCGCCTATGAATCTATCTGGTCCAGGACTTTTGTTTTTGGGGGAGTTTTTTTTATTACTGATTCAATTT